TGCACAATTTTAAAGTTTATTCTTAAGTATTTTATGATTTTTGTTGTTGCATTTTTAAGTGGGGACTTTACTTCTGCTCTCTTTTCTAACTGGCTATTGAACATGCAGCAGAGTGAATTTTAAAAGTCTTATTATCAGTCTCTTGCTTAAAATTCTCCATTGGGTTCCTAATGTATTTTAAATGAAATCCAGACTCTTTGTAATGACCTATTAAGGCCTGATATTATTTGGACCTTCCCTGTCTCATCTTTTCTTTGTTCCTTAAACTCCATGCACACTAGCTCTTTTCTGTTTCTTAACATAGTAAACCCTTTCTCGTCTCTGGGCTTTGCATGTGCTGTTCCTTCCTTTCCCTGATCTTTCTAAGGCTGGCTCATTCTCATCCTCCTTGGACAGGGCTACTCTGACTACCCCATCTAACATGACTTGTCCCAGGTACTCACTATTTTATCATCCTATTCATTTCCTCCAGTGCACTTACAATTTTCTATTATAAATTTATTAATTACTTGCTCACTCTTCACTTTCCCCACTAGAAAATAAGCTCTTTTCCCTCCTCTATATCCTAGGAACAATCACTGTGCCTGGCATGCTCTACAGTATTTTCAATCATTATGTTAATGATTGAAAATAAATGTGTCCACTATCACAGTTCTGGAGAGAAGGAAACAGTGCTACAACTGGCACCATACACAGAACTCAATTCTCTATTGCTATTTTAGTAAAAGTTGTTTATATCACTAAAAGACAGATGGGAGCTCTGGTGGTATAGTGCCTAAGACACTTGACTGCTAACCAGAAGATTGGCGATTCAAACCTACCAGCCACTCCTCAGAAGGAAGATTGGGCAATCTACTTCTGCAGTGATAACTGCTTCAGAAACCCAAGGAGGGGTTGCTATGAGTCAGAGAATGCTCGATGGCACATAACAACAACAACAACAAAATATAGATGGTCTCTGTGATCACTTCCAACGATTTCATGAGTCTTTGCAATAGCCTAAGCTCATGATTTAAGAACTTATGTAGTCTTGGTAGCTTTCACACAACAAAGATTTTAACCAAGTTATAAACTGTCCTGTTTTTGTGGTGGTTTCACCTGTAAGTGGGAACAAGCTTTGCTTCCTCCTGGCCATCTAATCTATTTGTTGACTCCCATTTCCATGAACCAATTTGTTGCCAAATATG